TTGGTGGAAACCAGAGGCACCAAAGGCAAATGCGTGATTTAACCTACACTCGCCACGCTGGCTATTTAGGCGATTATCACACTGCACCGCGCTCTGCCGCGGTATGCGGGACGACAGATTTAATCATTGCAAGTACCTCAGTTTGTATAGAAAACACGCGCGGCACAACACACTGACAACGCGTTTGCGCGCGGGATTCGTTATAATGTCGCCACGCGGCACAGTGTGATAATCGCCTTATTTTGGAGGTTCCATGTTCATTTTTATATATACCTATTTGTCATTTACTTTGGCCAGGAGCCCTAACAGTCCAGAAAAAAAATGCCTAGGAAACTCAATTTAATCACTATAGTGTTATTTATAGAGCGGTTTTAGTAAACCTTTAAATGGATTTTATTTACGCGGCTGGGGTCCATATTGGCTCACCTAAAGTTATTTACCCGAAATTGTTCTTCCTAACGATTTTAAATCCGAATGATCACTCTTCCTAAAATTTTTCATCCTAAAGTTTTCATTCATAATATTTGTAGTGCTACCGGCGATGTTCATAACACTCATGTTTCCGAAAATTGTAATTAATAATATCATTTATGTAAATATATTTAAACTCCTACTGTTTTTTATCATAACACTTTTATCCCTAAACATTACCATAATATTTTCACTCATACCATAGAATATTAATAAATACTACGTACAGAAGTACGTTCTTCGCGAATGAAACGTAAGGCCACAGTTCTAACCTAACCTAAACCAATAATAATGAATAGGACCGATTCGTTTCTGGAACTTGACTGAATGACTGGAGCGGGACTCTGGCTTCGCTCGCTCGGCTCGTGCGTTGTGGTCACAGTTATAACCTAACCTAAACCAATAATTATGAATAGGACCGATTCGCGCCTTGACGAATATTTCGTATCCAGGGTCCGATGATGGAGCTGTAAGGGGGCAGATTTTTTTTTTCACTATGTGACTGTCTTTATTTTGTACTTAATATATTTTACATATTATACCTATTCGTGTTTCATTATTTGTATCCAGGGTCCGATGATGGAGCTGTAAGGGGCAGATTTATTTTTCACTATGTGACTGTCTTTATTTTGTACTTAATATATAAAAGACTTATTAAACTCTATTAAAAATTTAAATTAATTTATCAAGTTTGAATACCTCATTCTACCTTAAAATTAATAACTTAAATCAAGTCTTAATACGGTCACGGCTCAAGATTTTTTTGTCCATTTCAGCGTTCTTTTTACTCTTTTGACGTTGCGTTGACAGCTTTTAACTAAATTCGCGAGGAATATTTTTGTGAAATGGCTCTTAATGCCTAGGAACCACGTTCATCAGTATTCTCTCTATTTATAGAGCGGTTTTAGTTAACCTTTAAATGGATTTTATTTACGCGGCTGACTGTAGCAGTGTTTTGTTAGGTGCACTATAATTTTGTGTTGTTGTCACATGCTTAGACGGATGTTAGAGCGACACACATACCTACATAATATAAGTTACATAACATCACGTTGGTATATTATAGTATACGTGACAGTATCGTTTTGTCAGCGGTTTTGGATCTAGCACTATGTATATTCAATGTAACAAAATATAATATTATGTTTTATTTCAGGAGAAATAATTCAGCACTATCATCGACATTATGAAAAAGCAAAATTGAAGACAGAAGAAATATCATTCATTCGACTTGTATTCCAATTCATGGAAAAACAGTAATTAACTAAGTACCTTTGATAATTATCTGCGTGCCATATTTCAGCGTAATTCATATTAAATTAATATTATTGGTAAACCAAATAAAGAAATAAATAATTCCTTCAGTGGTTTGTGCTGTATGTTGATAAAATAACTATAATGAATTCTTCAATTATCTAATAACCGTGGCAGCCTTTAATTAAGACAACACTTAGTTCTAAGCATTTTTAGTTATAGTAATCCATGTATGCGTGTTTGTCTTGTTGGTTGTCCTAATAAATAAAATAAAATAACGAATTAGGGCTATATTAAGCTAAGCAATTCGATAATTTATTCAATCATTGCCTTTAAATTAACACTAGAAAGGCCGCCGTCCCATTTTTGTCCCACTCGTGAGTTTGATCTTCTCTAACTTTTTTATTTTTCAACGAAAGTCCATGAAACTTTTTGACTTTTACTGATTTATTGAATTTTATCATTTTTTAATGTTTTTGATAATATAACATTAATAGAAAATTTTTAAAAATCGGTTTTACCTAGAAGTGCCACTGGGTCATTTTTGTCCCACCCTAGTATTTGCCACAATAATTCGATGAAGAGTCCTTGTTTCTAGGAGATACGAAAGTGGAGAGGTGAGGAGAGTTTAGGTGACTCGTAACAATGCAGAAATGTAAATATATTGTGCTAGTTTTTGCCTATGACTTCACCCGTGACAAATTAAGTTTATCGTAGAAAGACCTAATTTCTTGACACTTATCGTTGCTTTTTGACCAAATAACTGAATATTATTGTAAATTATAGCCTGTATTATGTTATTCTGAAGTATTAACAATAAAACTGCAAAGTTTTATTAAGATCGGCTTAGTAAAAGAGTGAAAAAACATCCATCGATCTAACCATGAATCCATACTCACTTAGTTCAAGTTCCAGGCATATATCCACCCATTCATTCTTCCCATCCATTCATCAGTCTATCCATCCTTCAATTCATCAATATTTATTAACTTTTACATTTATAATATTAGTAGGAAGGTAGCTTCTAGACATAAGCCAGTTCATACATTGTATGATTTGATACATTTTTAAAATGTGTGACTTATAACATTTTGAATATTAAACGTACATACTTTTCATTGTAATTGGTAAAAAACTCCACTGTTTGTGTACAGAAAACAGAAAAATAACCATACCTATAAAAATTCCTAAACACATAGTACACCAGAGAGACAAAAAACTATACAAAAAAACTTTGTGCAAAATGTGCATTATTATTTGTAAGATATTTATTTTTCCTTTACAAATAATAATGACTAGTTAAAGTAGTAATTTCATTGTTTTAATACAGTATAACACCACGTAATATGTGACTATTTTTAAATGAAACCAAAAATATCTGACTTTTAATAATTGTAAATTAAAATGAATACATTTATATTTTTAAAGGAATAAGTACATTTTGATTTAACTACATAGATAAACCTTTTTTTAAGGATACTACAAATAGTTTTAACCATAATATTCATGCCTTAAACTAAAAAATGTTACAAAATATATGCTGGGACAAAATTGACCCAGCGGCGCTTTTAGGGGGTTCGTAATCTTCGGCACTTCTAGTGTTAAACCAATCCAAGTAAACATACAAATCTCAATAGAGACAGTCTATAAATACATACTTCGTATAATGTGCGTAGAATAGGTACTAAACGCACAATAATTTAGCCAAAGCCAGATAGTACGCCGACCATTAATCTAAAGCACAATTTACACCGTTAATTATCAGGGGCACGGTAAATGGGTGAGCCAAGTTGGGTGTAATAGACACTACGCGGATTGAGACGCTTGCTTGATGCTGAAAATGTTCCTTATTCTGCAAACTCTTTTTTATTAAATGAGAAAAACGAGCTCATATCAAACAAAGCGGAATAGTACTAGTTACTGAGTGAAACAATAGCCACTACATTATTTATGTTATCTGTGACAATAGGCTAGGACACAATGTTCTTAATGTTAAGAATTTAAGATTGAGTGTAGTAATTTAACTGCAACTGCATAACGTCAGTGGAAAGGAAAAAAGACTAAAGCGCCAAAACCGTACTTGTGGGAAATGAGGATCAAAGTTTTTTTTTTACGAAAAAAATTCGTATCTCTTTTGGTATTAATGTTGCTGCTGAACTTTACATCGATGTAACTTGCCGATTTGGAGCTGAATGATGCAAATATCCTTATCTACGGCGTAGACACAACTAAACTTGAAGCTACTGAAGCGGTGAAACATTGGAAGTACGGGGAAGGGGGTGAAACGATGTTTCACTGACGCCGCCCGGCCTGTGAGACCGCTTGTCACCAGTTAAAGGTTAATTATCAGGGGCACGGTAAATGGGTGGGCCAAGTTGGGTGTAATAGACACTACGCGGATTGAGACGCTTGCTTGATGCTGAAAATTTTCCTTATTCTGCAAACTCTTTTTTATTTAATGAGAAAAACTAGCTCATATCTAACAAAACAGTACTAGTTACTAAGTGAAACAATAGCTACTACATTATACATAATAATATGTTATCTGTGACAATAGGCTAGGACACAATGTTCTTAATGTTAAGAATTTAAGATCGAGTGTAGTAATTGAACTGCAACTGCATATTATGTTCTGACGTAAAAATAACTTTTTTATAATCGTTTATTAATTGTGATTATTACATTAATAACTATTTTTATCAACTTATAGTAAGAATAATTATAACGTAATTATTAAAAAATCTCGTCTACCGCAGTTGGTCCCAAAACTTGGCTTACGTTTTACATTCAAAGCGTTATCTAGTCAAGTTATTAATTGTGTGGGTACATTGTGGAGGTGAACCAAGGACTAACTTTGTAGTTGAGAGGGGATCGACATATTTCTAAGCTTGAACCTGTTTCCCATTTTACCTCAAAAGGAAAAAAAAGTCCTTATAGCGTTACTTTGTTGTCCATTAACATGAAATCAATATCAATCTAGNTCATTGATCTAGATACGTCCTCCAGAGAAAACCTCTATAAAAAACCACTGGAGGAGGGGATTATGGGTTCCCTCAAAGCCAGAGGCGGAGCTGCGGACGAATGTCCGAGCTCGTAGGACAATAACTCCGTTTCTTTGGGCTACGGTGGACACCGTCGGGTTTAAGTGGGTAGACCCCGCCTTTAGTGAGCAGGCGGGGAGAGTCCCACATAACCCACTGGCTGTCCCCATCGACCAGTGGGTATGCGCAAAGCATTTCCTTAAGCTTAAAAAAAGGGTTGGCCTTAATACTTACTTGAGGCATATACCCGATCCTGGGCCCCGGGACGCCGCTGCCCGGGCTTCCAGGCCTGCCTCCGAGTACCCAGATGTCTCCAGCATTCAGCCTCCGTCTGCCCACTATGCAGGACAGCAGTGTGGTCTTCCCGCATCCTGATGCACCTAGGAGCCCGTATCTGCGGAAATATTAAAGGTTTATTATGGGCAGTCTGTTAGACTAATAAAGGACCTTTTAGTTTCATAATTTTATTATAGAATGATGCTTTATTCATTAAATAAACTTAATTCAATCGCTCAGATGGGTAGGTGGTGTAACTAAGCTGGACCATGTAAGAAACACACACATAAGAGGCACCTTCAAAGTGAGACCTATGATAGGTCTCACTTTGAAGGTGCCCTGCAGTTTAGCTGGGATAGGTCACCTATCCCAGCTAAACTGCAGGAGAGCCGTCTGCGGTAACGAACACGTTATGAGGCGACCACCCGACCATATGACCAGAAAAGTGCTAGATAATTATCCAAACTAAACCCCGAGGATGAGGAAGACCCCGAATCACATGGATGTCGGTAGTAAATAAGGACCTTAAAGAGGCCCAAGTCAACAGTGAGACGACCCAGGACCGAGCCGCCTGGAGACGCATGATACGGAGGGCCGACCCCAAATAAAATGGGAATGGACCAGGAAAAGTAAGTACTACCCGTTCGCGCTAAATTTGCCGGTCCGTGGAATGCGCGTCCCCTCCCCCAACCGCGATTAAACGCAATTAGTTAGTGATTAACGCAATTAAGGTGTCTTATTTTACGCAAATACACAATGTTTATCAATATCTATTAACACCTTTGCTGCGGCAGTAACTTTCTAATACTTTCCATTCCTTCGGTACAAGGTCGGTAAACCTGGTATTAAAACTTACATTGTGGCGGCACAAGGCTTAAAGACCTTGTAATATTTAAGATGTATTAATTTTATTTTTGGCTTCATGTTAATAGATATTGTGTTTTTTTTCTTTGAATATTAATAATAATGCATTTATTGACATACACCTGAAGGCGTTCGTGAATAACTTGTTTAGTATAAAAATTATAGCTATATTCAAAATACAAGGCTTATGCACCCTGTGCCGCACCGAAGTAGGGAAGTCTGGTGGGTATTCTAGGGATGTGAAATACAAATATCGATAGTTTAAATTAAATTTTAATAAAAATTTAAAAAAGTAACAAACAGAGATGTTTTAATAATTTAGTCTAAATATTTTACAAATAAGACATACGTGTATAAACACTTAAATAAGCTTTATTTAAAGAAAACATATTATTTAATAACATTTAGTTACAACTTCAAATGTTTGTCACGAAAAACATTATTTAAATTAGCAATAAATCGTGTAGCAAATTAAATTATAATCAATTTGCAGTTTTAATTTTGTTTGTTTCTCTTGACGCCATGTCGACATGTGCGTTTCTTACGAATGCGAGGCAACACTGGCTGCACGAAGCTAGCGTGGGGTGCGGTACCAGGTGCGCAGGGTACAAGGTGCTTCGACCTGGTTTCGCATTGTGAAGACATTTTATTACTTCCGTGCGGTACCAGGTCTAAAAACCTGGTATTAAGGTAGGTACATCATTGGATTCTATTTTAAGAATACATCATAGATATATATTTATCACTTTCCTACACCGGACCCAATTGAAGTTATGCCTTTCGCACGACAAGGAAGACTATAATTTTCTTAGCCGCACGGTAAGCGAGACGTACACAAGGTCTATATACCTGGTTTCGCACTCAACGTGTTAATAAATAAAAAATATTTTCAATATAGTTTACTATAGTTAGTTATAGACACTTATTTTCGAGGGACGTCATGTCGCCAGCGGCAAACTTAAAGTGAACGGATAGTAATAACAAGGCAGAATCTACGATCTCTCGTGATGCATACCTACTAACATTCAACGTTCGCCTCCGGATTAAAATCGTAAGCTTATTAAGCTTTAAACTTTAAATACTTTCCAACCCCATGAGTACGAGGTTTAAGTATTCGAACTTTTAATTCTTCATCACCTAAAAATAAATTCTTCTGATTGTGTCGTAAATGAATCCATCCGACTTGCAATTACTTTAAAATTAAATCCCGAAGAAAAACGAATTCAAGTTCATTAACTTTATTGCAATGTTGTTTCGTATACGAATGTAAATTGCAGTTCATTTCCAAACGAAATTTTCGAATGTAACCAGCCAATGTGTTATTCACTAATTACCTGATTAAAAAATAATCATTTCTTCGACAAAAGTATTGCGTCCATTTTTCAACTAAATTAATATTTAATTGAATAACCATTCATTTTGCAAACAACGATCAGGCGCGATATTCGTTTGTTTATTTTTCTCTACATTTTTTTTCTTTAAAATTACCAATTTTGCGGCCAGTGTTAACGCAACTGGATTAAAACCTATTTCATTTTTAAATCTAAAAGTGAGGCGTAAAAAGGCGTGGATATTCGCAATAAAACCTTTTTAATAATTTTTATTACTTTTATGAAGTAAAAATATTTCGTTAATAAATTAAATACATTATAAAACTTTGCAAAAAATTTCAATAAACTCAGCCCTAATCTAAAACACGGTATGATCGTTATCGTAATCTTTTTAATCTTGAAAAATATTCGAAGATTCAATACAAAAGTTTTCCCTGAAGATTCCGCCCCATTTAGCAATTACAGGATTCTTGCTTGTTTAATCTTGTCTTAGGAATGTTAATGGGTTCTTTAGCTATGGATTTAAGGATAAATAACAAATAAAATGTGTATTTATTTTTTGGTGTCATTGCTCAATCGTTAATAGATCTGCCTACCTACTCTTATTTTAATACCTATGAGAATTTTATTTCGTGGGCGAAATTTTTCATACTGATTGATTATTGCCTAAAATAAACTATTGGAAATGTATTATTAAAAGTAAACACTACCCCAAATTGAATTGTGTTTTCACAAAATGTTTTCATTCACGCGCGTAATTTTTTAACCGCGCCGCTGCCCGAGGGAATCGCGATAGTGTTTTGTTTCTGCCGAGATTGTTTTGTTTTCATTTCGCGATCGTCATTTGTTTTCGCCCGAGCTCACGGAGCGCGCGATGCGTTTCTGTCGACGCTTGCAAGAAAATTACGCGCGAAAAACGTTTGCGACAGTCGTTTGTTTTGATTTTATCTGTATCCTATTGCCAAAGTGGTAAAATTATAGTTTATCACGGTACCTTAGTTAAAATAATAATTCTTCCACAACTTTGGTTAGAGAGTGGCACTTCTCTATCCTCTTTTTGGCTAACAAAAAGTAATGATTGTCGTATACGAGTCTTAAAGGTGTGCCATGTTGGGGGACCGAATGAATGAGACACGGGTTGTAGTTAGTCTCTGATATTAATCTGTTTATTAATGTGAACTGCGCGACTATTTATACGATATAGATCAAATCGTTTTGCCAGACCGTTTCAAACCCTTGCCAGACAATCATTTTAGGTAGCTGCCAAAGCCACAATGACCCAAACTTCATGATGCACCAAAGTTCTTAGTCTATTTTTGGAGTGTGCGCTGACAAACTTTCGGCTTTTATAAAATGTATTTGTACTTACATGGCTCCTTTAGGCACTGTCATATTAAGCCCATCCAATATAACATTAGGGTTCTTCGAAGACCCATACTTCTTGAAGGCGCCTCTCACACATACTGCTTGCTCTCTTCTAGAAGCGACTGTGGACCTCTGAGTTTTGAATTCTTTCCTCCTCTCACGCAACTCCTGAATGGAAGTGGGAGGGTCTGCGCGAACATCTTCAAGTGATATAGTCGCGCCTTCGTTGTCGTAGGCGGGCATTTTTCTGGAAAGAAAGAAAAGATAACATTAATCATCATCATCATCATCATCATCATCATCATCATCATCATCATCATCATCATCATCATCATATAATTAACACTACATTAATCTTAATCATCATTATCATCATCATTTTAAATAACTTGAAAAAATCAAACTGCCTAAGGCGGGAATCGAACCCACGTCCTTTCGCTTGCCGAGCGACTGCTTTTCCAACTGAGCTACTTAGACACTGGATGAACCCGTCGAAATTTTTCAAGTGTTTTCGCCGCTAAGACCGCGTTTCATCATCATGTCACTAACGCCCGTATTCACAAACATTACTATGAGGTCTCACAGTGCGCGTGGACGCACAGGGTGACATACGAACCAATCACAGAGCTCTATTAGCATTCGATTTGCTGCTTCACTTAAGCAAGTATCGTTTGTGAATACAGGCGTACTAAGTCTCTATTACAGGAGAACGACCCTCTAAGTTACCATAGGCTGCAATAGACTCAAGATCATCATCAGGTCATTTTAGACTGAGTTGCACCACTTTACTTTAACCGTAACTATAACCATAACCGGTGTTTCTTGTATGGAGTTTGACAGACTTGACGTTTGTTAAAGCTAAAGTAAGATGGTGCAACTCAGCCTTAGTCCCTACTGCAGGAGCACGATTTTCTAGGTTACCAGAAGCAAATAGAGGATTTGACCTACACTTCCCACCCTGGCCAAACGGGTTAGGGAGGCATCAAGCCCCCGTTCGTATATTTGTGACCTTTTATGTCCCCAAGGAATAGTGGGACTGGACCTATTCTAAAGAATCACACGGAACAGTGTGGGTGAAGTACCTATTTTTATGAAACATTAGAACACCATTAAATAAAGTTACAACTCTGTTTCAGACTTTATGGACCGCTGTATAGGCGTGAAGTGGCATACATTATGGCCCTTACAGCACTTTATTTTATTTTATTCAATAAATACAGGTTAGTCATTTACATATCAAAATACATAAACAAAATGAACAGTGTCTAGACTCCAACCTACAAGTAGCGTATATTTAAGTTGATTTTTCACTTAATATGAGGCTATATCATTCATTTAATTTACTACAGTCACAAAAAGCATTCATAAAGTCCTTAGCAAACTGAGAACAAAGTGATTTTAATTTATTGTCTCGTATGGAAATCGAACCCAAACCCCTGGTACAAGATAATCTAAGGCCGAGTTGCACCACCTAACTTTGACCGTAACTATGACGATAACAGGTGCTTTTTGTATGGAGTTTGACAGATTTTTGACGTTTGTCAAAGTTAAAATAAGATGGTGCAACCCACCCTAACTCTCTAATCACAAGATTGTGGAACACATACAACAATTGCATCTGTAATAGACATAATCATCATACAATATCATTAAACTTGTCATTAACTTTAATAACTATTATCTCTCAGATTGCAATTATTAAATCTAATGTCATCCATTATAAATAATGTTTGAGTGTAAGAACTATATTATGTCATCGTATAAGTTAGAGGTCATAAATGTGACTATTAAGATACTAAAGTAGGTACTACATTTTATTATCCTTTTTAGTGCTAAACGTACTTTACGATTATAGTACACAAAGGTTAGTTCATGTAATAAAAATTTTATACTATAATATAATAAATATTGTTATAGTGTTACGCACTAAAATGTATCAGTTAAGAAAGTCAGCATATTCATTTTTAAAAATAGCAGCAGCATGAATAGAATTCCATAGGTATTTTATATTCGCACGAGTCCAAAGATTATTAATCGTTTTAAAATAGCTATAGGTCGTTCCACTGCCTTCTAGCAACCAGCTCAAAAAATTATGAAAAATTATTTTTATACTAGATTTTCTTATTCATGACCTTCTACTACATAAAAACAAAACTTCGAAATTATTTGCCGGTTATTTTTGTATCGTGATTTTTTAAACACATTATGTAATACGGGTAATTTATTGCTGTTTAAAAGCATCAACATGAGTAATTTTTATTTTAAGTAGAGTAGGCATTTACAAAATATAAGACTTTTTGGTTAGACAAGAGTTTTAATAGGAGTTGCAAACGGGACTCTTTATTAAAAAAAAAATAATTATAAATATTTGAACGAAAGGAATATAACTGTGTCCCATTTTATTTCTCCTCGTTCTTTCCATGCATGAATTATGTATGACATCTAAATGCATGTCACCATAACAGCATTGTTGTGTTCCGGGAGTTGGAGGTAAGAAAGCCAGTTCCTCTATGGTTGAAGAATACGAGTGAAGCTCGCTTGCTCCTTTGGCCTGATTATCACTTGCATAAAAAAACATTATTTGGCGTCGCAGAATCGATTTAAAAAAAAACTAAAGCCAAAGAGGGCGTGAAAGTGCATTGACCGCCAAAAATTCCCCGAACAGCTGATTCGTTATGATGCAAACACAATCCGAATGACCCTGTTTTGTATACAATATTATGAATGGAAAAATACAACTTGTTCTGCGATTGTCGAGTTTTTAGCTTTACTTGAAGATTCTTGATACATTGAAAGTTTGTCAGGAAATCGTTTGATGTTCCAACAACGTATAAGCAGCGCGATGTACTTTGTTTTAAGCAATATATTATAGGTACATTGTTAGCGTGCGAGGTTGTGATGGCCAGATCTTAGAGGTTTTAAAGGTTAATTTTAGCTATTAGATTATTTTGGCGTAAGTAATATTATGCGCAATCATCTAATCTAATAATAGGCTGTATTTTTTTTTAGGATATCGAATGCGTTTGACATAAACTCCAGAATTGTGACGTCAGTTGTTACCATCCACACCACAGAAGAAAAACCGATAAGTTGCCATATTCATGAGTATTTATCTACTATTTGCCTCGAACTTAAGGCACAAGAAGTCTTGAGTTCTTGACTCATATAGCCTTTGGAATAAGACCCACAATCCGTCAAATATGTCTAACTTTAACGTACGTCGATATTATTTGTGCAAACATACTACTCAAACACGGACGTGCAGAATACGTAAATATATTATTCAAAGATTCAAAGTCATGTTCGCAAAGTCATCGCAAATCTTATTAACGTCAGACTTGCAAAAAACCTTAAGGCTCTGTCACACCACGCGCAAATCTAGAGCGGAAACACGCCGCGGTTGCACGTCGCGTTTTGTAACGAGATAGGGCGAGCGCTACATTAAACTTTTTTCTGGAAATATATTTTGAAGTTGACAAGATTTCACTATCATGCCTTGATCACACGTATCTAGCAAACGGGAGAGTACTCGGTGTGTATGAACTTTGCGCAGAGTGCTCGGCCGAGCGCTCGAGTATGTGACTCGCTCACCCAACTGTCTCGACTGAGTAAACATTTTACAGTCTCGCCAGTTTACTCGGTACGCGTGATCAAGGCTTCAGGCTCGGTTTCCACCAAGGCGGAGCGGAGAGGAGCGGAGCGGAGAAATGTTTTGAACAACCAATCAGATGTTATTCAGATGCAATGAAATTGACAGAATGCAATCTGATTGGTTATTCAAAACATTATCTGCTCCGCCCTGCCTTGGTGGAAAGGAGAAGAGATGTGTTCGAAAGAGATGTGCAGAGAAGTGATATGGAAATAACGAAATCTGATTGGTTATTCAAACACTTCTCCTCTCTCTGCTTTGGTGAAAACCGGGCTTCAGATTTACATGTATGTTGATAAATCACCTACTACCTACTTCTATTAACATTTCATACTATAATTCACTATTTTGTCTTATTTTGCCAAAGTACATGCCAGCAAACAGAAGAATATAGTTTCTTCTCAGACAGTTTGATTTTATATTTAACTGATTTCATTCAATAGTCCATTTTGTTCCAATCTCTAAGAAATGGATCGCTCTCGTTCATTTCACACGCTCGGAAAACGCACATACACTAAACACCAGTGTGTTCGGGGCCTTATCTTGGTATATTTTTAAATTCATAATTATGTAGGTACATATTAGCCTAAACATGTTTACTGCAAATTAGTACCTAATACAACTGCATAAACAGCTACGATGCAGCTTGATAACCTGTTAATCCTTACCTAAAAATTAATGGATTCATATACCTACACGCAAATGCACTTAGCTCTTTAGAATTTAAGATAAACACATTTCAGCTGTACAAGTTTTTAAACTACACCACAAAACAAAAATAAACAACAGAAACATGTTGTTTCTTTAAATTGAAATTTAGTATAAAGCGAGTTTATTCCACAACTTTTTCTCAGCGGTGCCGCGGTGGTAGAGCGAGCTAAATATGTATTTAAATAGGCTTACATTTTAAGGGTTCAAGTAGACATTTTGAGCCAGACGTCAGTCGACCATTTGGACCGCACATGGTTTTTTTTTATAACAACTGCGTTGGAAATTTGAAATTAAAATACATAGCCCTCCTTCGGACACAGTCGTGTAAAAATAACAATTACCGACAGTGTGTGCGGTCTTGCAAATGCACGACAGACGTCCTATTCAAAACGTCTAATTTCAAAAGAACTCTACTACATTGTCTACTAAAGGATTTTTGAAATAAATTCATAATTATGACTATAATTATTTGATAATTTAGGATATTCCCAACCTTAAGACACCCTGTATAAGACCTGCTAAGACGCTAATTACATAGTAAAGTTGCTTATTAACGATTACTAAACTGCAATCGGTCTGGTCTGGTTAAGGTGAACGGTATTTCCGATCCCATTCAGGCTGTAAGGGCGACTAGTGCTTAGTCACCTCTATGGTTAACCACTAAGTAAAGTAAAAACCCATGATTTTGCCCTTTAGACCCAATAAATCGTTGAAATGTTAACAAAGGTACTCTATAATGACTGTTGTGTATGTGATTGTGGTCATATACCTGCCTTATTCTGCATATAAAAACTACACAACTGTAAGTGTACCTACACACTTAGGCTGAGTTGTACCACCTAACTTTGACCGTAACTATAACGATAACCAGTGTTTTTTATATGGAG